TTTGATACGTTTGCGTGATTTTCTTATATATATATATATATATATATATATTATGCAGATTTTATAATTTATTTAAATCTAGAGCAAATTGGAGTGATTAGTAATATATGCAGAAATTAACAGGTGCCCAGTTTATTTAGCGGATGAGCATTTTTCTTCTTTTTTGTTTCTAGAACAAATAGTTATCCGACCATCCGGTCGAATACTACTACTTCTATTTAACATATATATACATAGATATCTGTTTTGCTCGGGTTGATACGCTTGCGTGATACACATATAGAAAAAATTATATATATATTTTTATTTTATGCAGATTTTTAAAATTATTTTAAAATTAGAGTAAATTGGTTATTTGTAATATATGCAGAAATTAACATGTGTCCAGTTTATTTATCTGATGAGCATTTTTATTATTAGTTTTATATTTTTATAGAACAATCAGTCATCCGACCATTTCCCAACAACCATTCATTCTTCTTTTGATTCTTTAATCCATCTTCGGTCCGAAAAACCAGATACTTCAATTCCAATGCGACTTTTCAGGCCGTCGTTGGCCATCAAGGCCTCCCTCTGACTAATTAGCATCCCATAGGACGGTTGAACAATGTTTCGACTGACCTAGTCAGTCCGCACAACACGAACATGATGCAGTATCGCAGTTAGGGGTATAGGAGAACGTAATTTGGCGTAGAGAAGGTCGATATGGCAGATTTTCATATGTGCGGGCAAGTACAGGGGCGACGATGGGAAGATAGAGGCGATCGAGAAAAGCAGGTAGCAATGTAGAATCGACAGTGTCAGATGACATAGAATGGAAACGAATGAATTAAGTGCGCGTGAGACAGTTAGCAATGCAGTAGAGGAGCTAGGTACAGTTTGGGAGAAACTGGGACAGAAAGAATGCGATTTCAACTCGTGTTTTCAACAAATATCAACTACTGGAGCAAGTTTTAGCAATTAATTGGCGGATCTACCTTGTTTTGACTGAAAAAACCCCCATTCTTTTTTTTAAACGCGAAAATGCCATGTTTTTTTACCAGACTGGAAACTACCTTTTTTGTATGCAGACTTTCTTGAAATAAATTAAGAGGAAGTACCTTCATTTTGGTGAAAAAAACCCCATTGTTTGTGTCCAAACGCCGAAATGCCTTTCCCACGCCAAATTGGAAAATGTGTCTTTTCGTGCTATAGGTAAAAAGGTTAAAGCGTAGAGGGACGAAACACTATTCTTTTTTTAAAATAAATATATTTCGACCAAAGTAGAGGGACTCAGATGACTTTTCTTAAAATAAATATATTTTGGGAAAAGTAGAGGGACTCAGAAAAAATCGGTCCCTGTCCGCGAATATTACGATATAGATGTGCGCGGAGATGCAATAGACAATGGCGCCAGTGTTTTACTGAAATTTGGATGTGCGAGGTCCAGATACTGCACGTCTATATACGGGAACAAAAGTGCCGAATATAAGGACGTGACAACGCTGACTGCGTCTAGGCCAGGGAAAATCAGTTTTCATGTCATTTACCAAAGACACGTATTTTCGTCTATGGCGGAACTAGCGGACTACGCAACAGGCTTCAAAATATTTCTGGCACAAAGTGACGTCGAAGGAGTGAGCGACATTGTAGACTGGTCAGTGTATGGACGCAACCAGCTGTTGCGGGCACCATACGCTGTAAAAGTAACGACGCATGATTTGAACGGTAAGCGTACGTACAGCAATGTTGACGGGTCGGTATTGAAGATTTTGGGCGGTGGAGAATGTTCCGTGTCAATGTCCACCATGACGGCCACGCATGCGTCTGTAATCTGCTGTCCGGATATAGATGTTGATCCTGCTCATACAGCAAAGCCGGTCCTAAATGCACCCAAACCGAGTGTGACTGATGTGGTAGCGTCGAAGACCGGTCCTAAAGAAATAGGCCTGGGGATGTCGGACAAGCTGTCATCAGACGAGATTGCTGTCCATGAAGTGTCAATCAGAACGCGCTTTTGTTTTGGTCGGTGCAGAGTCAGAGATATTCATACCAAGGCCTGCCTTCCAGTGGAGACGGCTCGGGATTATTTTAAGTTTACTGGACTTGTGAAGTCTATTTTCGGGTATGAGCACGGGTGGACAATTTTCACAACTTATGTAGCGCGTTCAGATTACTACAATGAGAATGCAGAAAAGGTTGAGCAGTCGTGTCGTTCACAATACAATGACATGCGATATCAGACTAACGACGGCATCCTTGTGCACAACATAATGATGCGAAAGTTGAAGGCCACTGAGCTTAAGCAGAAGGGTATTTTTAAGTTCTAGGGTAACTTGTTTTTAATCTGTTACGAGTATGATACTGACAATTTGCTGCGTGTCGCTAGTCGTCACATATGCCTGAGTTAAAGGAAGCAAATCGATGAAATAAACCGTTACAAATATATTCAAAACATCCACATACCACGGTCCATGATAGACCTTAAACTGAGCTCAGAACAGATGCTACTGGTTATGAAAGTTATAACTTTCGTTGCATTTGCGATTATGACAGCTGCGATTATTTTGTACTGTCAGAGGTCCAGGCATAAACAGATTTGTGCTGATCTGTCTAGGGTGAATGAGGATTGTGTTGTGTTTCAAAAATCGATAGCGGACTTTGCGCAAGTGCTACAAAGCGTTGAAAAGCGACAAATATCAATGCA